CCATCAAATGCCATCACCGTAAGAGCCTCCACCTCAGCCACATCACGAGGCTAATGGTGACAGAGAGGCATTCCCTACACGGTGCCTGTGACATGGGGACGGGCACAGGCACTAAAGCAGACCCCCTGGGGGTCTGACCTGTAGAGTCTACAACTGCTCTGCTGGCCCCTGCTGCTCCTTCAGAGACTCAGAGGGAAGACTGTCCCAAAGCACTGCACTGAAGGAGAGAACGATGACAGGTAATGACTACCTCGCAAGGCTATCGTAAGAATTCAATCCAACAGCTTATGCAGTGGGCTCAGCACAGCATAAGAGTTCCATAAATACCTGCAGAGAACACTCACGCTTTCAACAGACCACAGAAAGTGTCTGGTGTTCCAACAAGGTACAGAGTTAGAGTTAGGTTTCAACAGACCACAGAAAAGACCACGCTTTCAACAGACCACAGAAAAAATCTGGTGTTCCGATAATGTACAGAGATAAGGCTGTCCGTGGCAGGCTGCCAAGGAGGGAAGTTCTGCCAATAGCAGAACTTACCTGTGGTCTTTGCTGACCGCCAGCCAACGCTTTACCGATCATCCGTTAAACCTCAGGATAAATCGTTACACTAGGCAAAATTACCCCCGTTTCAGTGATGAGGATACTGAGCCCAGCAGCAATGAATGCCTTGCTCAGTTCCTGCAGCAAGGAAGTGTCCATGTCACAAAGGAACCCAAGGCCGCGGCTTTCCCCACCACGCCATGCCACCAACCTTAAAGACATTCTGTGCGAGGGCTGCCACCCAGATCTCAGTGCACAGCCCAGGGCCTATCGCTGTACTCAGAGAACTAACCATTGCATCAGAGAAAGACAAAGCAGCAGGCTGTTAATACAAAGAGCAAAAGTCCACCAGGCAGACGTACACCCGTCCCAGGAACGCTGCTGCCTATGTCATCCCGTCTCTGGCATTTGGGGCAGAGGGTGGGTGAAGAAAGTAAAGATGTCCACAGCAGAATCAAACTGACAACCCAGGTGACGATTCCAGAAATGTACGGATCTGAGAGCTTAGTTGTCCCAGAGCTCCTCGGTCTCACAGCCTAACAACAGGTGTCAGTCTGCACACACAATCAAGACTCACTGAGGAAGGAGAAATGGGGAAAGGGACGTTAACTTGGATGATTCTGTGTAATTCGATTTTGAAACTTTCACTTTGGTTTTAAGGCCAACTTCCCACTACAGAGGCAGTAGTAATTTTTCTGTGCTCACATTGCAACGCGTGACAAAGTACGCATAGGATAAAGTGGGCACAGGTCGATTTTGTGGGGGCAGGGACGGGAGAGGAGGACAGGTGCCACAGAGGAACTGATTCTGGAGTCGTCTTGGGAGGACTTCACGGGACTCAGCCAAACGTGTTCAGTGAAGAAAGAGGGATGTCTACGACGACTCAGGGCATTTCCGGTGATGGAAGGGCAGCAGCCAAAGTGGGGAGAAGGAACCTACAGGCAGAGGCACTAAAGCTTCAGCTGCTCTCCTCCGTGCAGGGAGCTGGGGGGTGACAGGAGGCAGACCGCGGGCGAAGGGCCCACGTGCTCTACAGACAAAGGCACAATCAAAGGCCCAGCGTGGATCACTAGAGACCTTCAGGGCGCCCCCGCCCATCTAGATGCAAGGCCTGAAAGGCACTCTTGAGAACAGGCACTGATGCCTATCACGGTGTGAATAACCTCCACAGTGTTTGTTCTCTATCAACGGGCACCATTTACACCGGCAGAACCCATCCCCAACCCTCCACGTCAAATGAGGACACGTGGGATGGGTGGTCTTTTGCCCCGTTGTCAAAAGACTAAAGAAATCCACCCTCTGGCTGATGACAGGTCCCAGCACTGATCGGGAAAGGCGACTACCTGTAAGACAGGCCTCCGGAACATGGCTTCTCTGTTCTTTTCTTACAATCCAATGGCTCTTTCCCTAAAACACAAAAAGAAAGTTAAGGCCCTCTGCCAGCAAGAGCCCAAGTGCACTCCTTCCAAGTTCCTAATTGCATGACCGCCAGGCGCTGCACAGTGCAACCCTGACACGTCAACATCCCGCGTCCTCCGAGGTAAGTCACGGCGCTGGGCTCGGTCTGACGTCACGTCGAGCCCACCTAACTTCCTCTTCCCGTAAAAAATTCTAACTCTTGAGTTATTCTCGTTTCCAGCCTCCAGACTTCTCAAGTTTCATTAAAATGCCAGCTCCCCGAGGAGAGTTCCGTCTGAGTTACCCGCGGCCTGCCCCTGGAGCCCTGCCCAACACACGGTATGGCCTCAATAAAATCAAAGGAATGAAATCTGAAACCTGTTGCCGCAGAAACCCCTGCCTCCATCCCGGAGAGAGAAGACTCCGGGGGCCCTCTGCCCAGGCGACGGGAGGAGCGCGCGGTCCTGCACCAGAGCGAAGAGGGCCAGGTGCCGGCCCGCTCGGGACTCGCGCCCTGCCGCCTTGCTCACCTGAGCTCCCGGCCCCGACAGCACGAGCAGCGAAGGGACTCCTGGAGCACCGGGGCGCAGGCCCGTGCGCGAGAGCAGGAAGCGGAAGCAGAGGGAGCAGGCGTGCGGCGTAGAAATGCAGCCGGCAGGACCAGCGGGAAACACGGCCCCCGATTCGAGAGTTCCGGGAGCTTCCTTCCGGATGCGACGGGCTGAGTTTGGCGCGTTTATTTGGTGACATTCCTTACCCGGTCCAGGAGGGGGCGACGTGGGCGAAATCTAGGGTAGCTGAGCCCGGGCGAAAACCCGATGGGCTGGGCTTGCAAACCAAACAGCAGGCCAGTTGCCTAAACCCGTCGTGTTGACTAATTCATAGCTACCCTGCAGGACAGAGAACTGCCCCCATTGGATTTCCAAGGAGCTCTGGTCCCGTAATGGGTAAGATGTTTGGCTGTTAACCAGATCAGCGGTTCAAACCCACCAGCTGCTCCACGGAAAGAAGATGGGCCGATCTACTTCCTTAACAGCCTCAGAAACAATGGGGACTCACTGGGAGCTGGACGGCAGTGATATGTGTATGGAAGAAGAGCTCGTTCTCCCGCGAAGCGGCTGGTGGGTTGAACCACCGGCGTTTCAGTTAATAGCCGAGTGCACCAGCAGAGCTCGTCACCCGTTCTGTGCGAAACTGTAAAGGGCACCAAGATAGGGACAATCAAGATAAATAATATTTTAATGCAATATTTTTTAAAAGTTTAAATTAATGCCTAAAAATAAAAACACCCGTGAACAAAAAATAATAGTAATAATAATTTTTTAAATAATGACAGATTTGGTACCGGACTTGCTGAACTATATTTGAAGCCGAGGCCCGAGGAAATATGTGCATGCCTTAACAGGTTTTCAGAAATTTTTTTTCCGGAACATTAGTTAAAGGTGGCCCTGATGGCGCAGTAGTTAAGTGCTTGGCTGCTAACGGAAAAGTTGGTGGTTCGAACCCACTTATCAGCACACGACAACAAAGTAGTTGAAGAAACATTGAAAATTTGAAAAGTAGGTGTATTGAGACTCATGATGTTACAGGAAATGGACCCTATGAAACCCAAATGGGTTCTTGTCCTCTGGCGAGAAAGAATTGCTCGCAGAAACGGAGGCGGTTTATGGAGAACAAGCCTTTCATGAAGCTTCACAAGACTGCAGGGGGACACGTCAGCGTTTCCCAGTTGGTGGACAGCAATTACAGGGGACACAGGAGAAAGCCAGACAGCTGGCCCGTGGGTGGGATTGCTAGCTCCTGTTCTGGTCTCTGGATTGATGGGCATCTTCTTAACTACAGGTCAGAAGGGGGTCTGTCACCCAGTCTGCTGTGTTGACTCCTTAGGAGCTGCAACACATGGCCTGGGGCTTACGAACCTTTCCACTTGCAATTTTATAGGTTTTACCATTCCTATCAGTAGGGGTAACTTAAGTAATTTACCAAAGAATATGAGGGCACCTTCCATTCCTCATGCCTGTCCCTACCTCACTCTCAGCAGGGACAAGGTCATTTCCAAGGGGCTGAGGCCGGGCAGCAGCTTCTCTTCCATACATGAGCTCTCCCTACCTCCGTAACATTACTTGAAGCTTATTTTTTTTTTTATCAAAACAGAATTTATTATAATTGTACTTTCTTATCAATAATATTTTCCAAATCTACTTCTTTGTTTAGCTTGCTTCCAAATGAGAGAATTGCTATGCCTGGCAGTGTTTTGTGACCACGTAGCATTCTTAAATAATTACCTTACACTTATTGACCTTGTCTTTATTTAAAATTGTGATATTTTGTTGATCATGGATTTGCATTCATTTTCAATGTTACCTGATTTTTAATTGTTGTTGTTGTTGTTATGTGCCGTCGAGTCAAACCCGACTCATAGCGACCCCTCCTTGGGTTTCCGAGGCAGTATCACTACGGAAGTAGGATTGCCCAACCTTCCTTCTGAGGAGTGGCTGGTGGGTTTGAACCTCCAGCCGTCTGGTTAGCAGGCAACTGTCTTAGCCACTATGCTACCAGAGCTGATTTTTAATTAAGTCTTTTAAATATCAAAGTATCCTCAATCCTGGCCTTGATGGAGGCAGGAGCCCTGGGGCCAGTGGAATCCTGGCTGCAGGGGTCTCCCTGACTATTTTCATCTCCGTTCCCTCCAGCTCAGCCAATGAACTGCGCCTTCACACCCTTCAATGGCCCACTCTCGCCCTTAAAGTCTAAACTACTTAACAAGGTGGGCAAAGTACATCTTCATCCTCTGAAGGCCCAGCTCCCGAGCTGGCATGTTTCTAGGAGCTTCGTGCCAATAATCATGGAGTCCCTGAGTGCCATGAACAGTGAAGGGCTCGGCTAGTAACTGAAAAGTTGGCGCTTAGAACCCCCCCAGAACTGCCTTGGAAGGCAGCCTGGCGATCTGCTTCCCAAAATCACAACCTCGAAAACCCTCTGCACCAGAATCAACTCGATAACTGATAACACGGCCGTTTTCCTTCTACCTTCACAATGTTCACTTCCTGAAACACACCGTGTTGAACTGCCTTCAGGTTTCCACACAGGATTGGTGTATTCCTCATCTCTTCCTCTCTGTTACCACTGCCGCTGCCCTCCAACGATTTCCTGTTTGAACATACTATTTGCATAGAATGGAATATTATGTAGCCATAAAGAGAAATGTAATTCTGATGCATTCTACCACATGGCTGAGCCTTGAAACAGTATGCCACATGAAAGAAACCAGACCCAGAGGACAAATATTGTATGATCCCACCTCTATGGAACACCCAGAATAGCAAATGCATGGAGTGTAGTGTTTAGCATTTACTAGGGGCTGGGGCGTTCTTGCTTCAGGATGCTGGGCTTCTATTTGGAGTGAAGTAAAACGTTCAGAAATAAATGGAGTAATGGTCGCAAACATGACTGTAATTGACATTACTGAATTGTACACTGAAATGATTAAAGTTACATTTTATTATTATATATATTTTACCACAATAAATTTTTTAAAAAAATCGTACTTCCTCTCAGCTGTCAAGTCAAATGAAAACTACATCCAGCCTCTCCTGCAAAGCTAGTGTCCCTCTTCCACCCTCCTTGTTTTGTTAAGGGTACCAGCACCTCCCAGACTTGACCTTTGGAATCGCCTTTAAATCTGCTCCCTGATCACCCACATCCATTCAGCCATATCTAACCACTCGACCCTGAAAAGCCTTTCTCCGTTGTACCACTTGTCCCTCCCTGTCTTCCTTTCTATTCACAAATACTTGCAGCTGTGGGAAAAGTTGTTTTTTAAAAAAAGCACCACGCAACTTGAAAACAGACAGCTTGTGGGGAACGCTGTGACTTTATAAGTAACCTCTTGATGGAGTCGGGCTGATCTGAACTGTCACCAGAATTGGCCAGTGCTGCTACTTTAATTGTTTTCTCCTTCGGCAAAGAACAGCATGCTGAAAGGTTGCAGTGTGAGGTCCCACAGGGCTGAGTAAGGCATTTTCCTGTATCATCCAATTTTGTTTGCCCACCCCCAGTGCCATAAGCCTTCGGCCTGGCTTTGCCCGCCCCGCCCCCATGCTCCACATCCAGAAGCCCCCCCATCTTTTGCAGACAAGGAGTCCTTCCTTCCTCTGTTCCCTGTTACATTATCTTTGCACACTCAGTCTACCTTGCACTATCATTTAAACCATCACCAAGGTGCCCCTCTCACCCATTGACAGTGAGCTCCTAGAGGATGGGGACATCGTTGTGAGCATCCAGTCAGCAGTACCCTTTAAAACAGGGACAGGTTTTAGAAGGCCCAGGTCACAGGCCAGAGCGGCGAGTCGGCCCCGACTCAGTGACCCCTCCTTGGGTTTCCGGGGCGGTATCACTGCAGAAGTAGATTGCCCAACCTTCCTTCCGAGGAGTGGCTGGTGGGTTTGAACCGCCAGCCTTCTGGTTAGCAGTCAAGTGCCTTAGGCACTATGCCACCAGGGATCCTGAGCAAAGAAATAGGGAGGAAAAATAGAGATAACCCAGAAGGATACTCAGATGCGCCTGAAATTAGACGGGCAAACAAAGAGTCAAAGGCCTGGACGAGTGGTTCCAGTTTGTTTGGTATTAGGCATTCCCTGTCAAGAAGCTGTCATATGCATTTTGATGAGGAAGTCCTGGAATCTTCCACCTCCTCTCTCTCTCTCTCTCTCTCTCTCTTCCCATCTCTCTCTCTTTCTCTCTCTCTGCGCACACACACACACACACACTTACAGATTTTCTGCAGTTCATCCATGGGCCCAGAAGTGACACTGCCTTGGCAACCCAAGGAGGGGTCGCTATGAGTCAGGTCCAACTCGACGGCACATAACAACAACAACATGATTCATGTAGGTGAAAAAGCTTCATTGTTCAGACAGAAATGCTAACATTGGTGTTTCAATGTTAGCTTTTCCACAGCTTGAGATAAATGGCTTCTACCTTTGGTACCCACCACCCGCCTGTCAGCGTGTCGCGCTGTGGTAGCTGGGGTGTGGGTGGGAGGCTGCAGGCCATGCCGCAGGTATTTCAGACACCAGCCAGGCCTCCCACGGTGCCCGGGTTTCAGCAGAGCTTCCACACTGACACACACTGGGAGGAAAGACCTGCCCATCTGCTTCTGGACGTCAGTCGGTGGAAACCCCCTGGATCCCAACAGAACTTTGTCTGTGGGAAGGTGAGCCCCCAAGTTGGGAAGCACTCAGACTACACAGTGACTGCGACAGAGGACTGAGGCAGACCATGGCGGGGAAGACGTGTGTGTTCCGGGGAGCATGGCGTCGCCGCGAGCTGGAGCCCACTCCGCGGCAGCCGGCCTCAGTCGATGGGTGTGTGTCAGAGCCAAGACCAGCAGAGCTCAGGGGCCACTGCTTCAGCTCCAAGTGTCCGGACTGTCTGTGGGCACATTGTCAGCACTGTGTTCGTGTTGAAGATACAGCCCCAGGAACGGAACTGCTCACCCCAAAGTGTTTAAAGGGCTCAGGGGTACCGACCTCATGACGTTAATGATCCTGATAACACGAGGGTTATGTCGTGGTCTCAGTGCAGCACCAGAACTTCCTGCCTGAGAAAGGAGCTTCCTCCTGAGGCGAGGGGTAGAGTTCACCTGGAGGAGAGCCAAACTAACCCCACTGCCAGCCAGGCCATTCTGACGCATAGTGTCCCTGCAGGGCCCACTGCCCCACAGGGCTTCCAAGGCTGTGAATCTTTACGGAAGCAGACGGCCTCATCTTTGTCCTGCAGATTGCCAGTGGGTTAGAACTGCCGACCTTTTGCTTAGCAGCCAATGCTTGAACCCCTGTGCCACCAGAACCTCTTTTCACCTGGAGTAGACGTGACAAACTGCAACACCAGTGAAGACCCAGTCCCTCTCACACTGAAGAGTGACTAGGCAGCTCCAGGCTGTTTGGGCGATGTCCTGCTACTATGAGTCCTACAGAGAGAGAGAGAAGCCAATCACCTGGCACCAGATCCTCTCCGGGGATAGGGCAAGCTTTGATGAACACAGCAGACAAGGGACTGTGGGTGGCACTAGTGGTAGTTATCAATGCAAGGAAGATGGGGCAATCTACTTCCATAGTGATCCTGCCTCGGAAACCCAAGGAGGGGTCGCTATGAGTCGGGTCCGACTCTACGGCAAACAACAACAGCAACAACAAGATGACAAGTATAACCAGTGAATTATGGTCTGGACATTGTGTCGCTTAATATACTTGTCTATACTTGTCCTAAACTGTGGTCGGTCTTGCATTATATAGCAAGGGGCATGGCCTGGTGTGCAAGAGAGTAGGGAGGGGGTGGCCAGAGATAAATGTTAACACCTTGAATAAAGACTTAGTTACACAGAAATAGAAACGGACTATCAGGGCTCTGTACCCCACTTAACTGCATGAAAAGGATTCCAAGGTGGAGCAAAGGATGGGTGAGGATTTAGTCCATGAAAACTCCTTAGTTAGCTTTTAAAGGTGAAGGGAAAGAAAATAAGGGAGCAGGAAAAAAAAAAAAAACATTGACAGGTTGTCATCATAAAGTGACTCGGGTAGGTAGACAGACAAGTAGGTAGAGGATGCACAGATAGATGGACAGGTAGGTAGGTAAGTAGCTAAGTAGATGATAGGGAGTGAGAGAGGAGAGAGGGAGGGAGGTGGGACGGGAGGTAGACAGATGATAGGTAAATGATAGATGGTAGGTAGGTAGGTAGGTACATTGATAGGTAGACAGATGATCTGTCACCAAGTCACCTTCAACTCATGGCAACCTTATATACAACAGAACACAATTCATCTTCCGAGTTACTGGCGTGTTCCAGTCCATCCTGTGGCTGTTGGGCCAGTGCATCTCACCAAGGGTCTCCCTCACCTTCTCTGACCCTCTGACCTCCCCAAACAGGATGTCCTCTCCAGCCATTGATCCCTGCTGGTGACATGTCCTAAGCAAGTGAGTCAGAGAGTGTTCCACTGAAATATGTAAGCTTTTCATTGGCTTATCTGGAGGCCCATCAGGCCTTCCTCCTCATCTTAGCCTGGGAGCCCTGGTGAGATGCACCTACCTGGTGGCTGACACCTGAAATGCCAGTGGCACAGCTTCCAACATCACAGCCACACACAGGCCACCACCGTGTGACACATGGACAGACAGGTGGTGAAAGACACAAGGAGAAGCTTCCAAATGCCTTTACAAGCAACGTTATTTTATTCCATAGTCTAACCATTACTGCCTTTCTGGTCTATAGAGCTGGACCTTGCAGTCAAGACAGGCTACAACACACCTGCTGAATTTTCTCACCCATCTACTGAAGAAGTGTTTTCCAACATCAGCTTCTCATTCTTTGTTAGCCACACATTGCCAAGAAGAGTACTTTACCAGTTATCTGGCTTTGGAAAAAGATAAAAACCTTTATTTACAAATGTTCTATTCCTTTAAAAATATATACAGACTAAAATACTTGAATAAAATATCACAGGAAACAAAGAAAAATTCTGACCCTAAGATCAAGAGAAATTGGTGACACCCAGAAAAATCAAAACCAGTCGTAACAGCTACAAGAGGATCAGGGCAAATAGATTGGGGGACGACAGCCACGTCAAATTTCCCTGAATCGTCAAATTTCACAGCTCTGAGTGGGTTTTTTCCACAGGTCAACAGCAGCACATAAATGTTCATGTTATAGGTAGTCTTCCTTCTATCCCCCTCATGGAATGTTGAAGCCATTTATTTAATAAATACAGTATCACAGAAAGGGATTGTCTCCACCCAGAAAATATGCAGGAGAAATATTTGGACAAAGTAGCTGAGAATTCTCTCTTAGGAACACAACCAGCGCTGTTGAAACCCAAGCTCATTTCCTTGTGAGCTATCACCTCAATTCAAAACCAAGTTTTCCTGCTTTCTATGGATGGCAAGAATCTCTGGGCTCCTTGGTAGGGAATTGGCAAAAGGTAACCTCTTGGTCCATAGACCCCATGGAGAGCTGCTTCCCTTTCTCCTTTTGGTTCAGAGGCCCGTGGTTTGCCTTTGGACATCAACAAACGCGAGAAGTGAATAAACTGTCCAAAGGTAGTGCTGGGAATGTAACAGCAGAGAAGAGAAATGGCTACCAATGACTGGGTTGGGGACAAATACTCAGCAGAAGCCTTGACAGCTTTAGGATCTTGGCTGAAAATGCCCAAGTAGGAGTGGCTTTAGACATTTTAGGGCATTCAAGTTGGTTAGTATCTCTCCATTTCATCAGAGGCAGGTTGGGATAGTTGATAGCGATTTCCCGAAGCTATGGAGTTGAAGGATGGCTCATGTGAATGAACTCTTATGGGAACGGGAAAAGGGAACATGGAACAGTGTCCCCTCAGCACCTCCCACCGGTGAAGCTCGAAGACCTTGTGCTCCTTCCTCCCACCAGGCGTTTGGTGCTTCCTGTTCCTGAGGGGGCACCCGGGTCCCCAGGGCCACCAGGGTGACTCTCTTCCTTGGGGGACAGGGTCTGCTGCACTTCTCTCAGCTCCCTGGCAACAAACGACAGGGGGGACCATAGGTTACTTAATCCACAATGGAAGATAATATTGATGATCAAAATGAGCATGAAAACAGAGTTTTCATTTTATTTCAGGATTTACAAAAACAAGCCTGAGCTTGAATGGAAAATTCCATTCCCATGATTTTTTTTTCAAAGCTGACATCCTCATGCCACAGAGCACAGCAGATTCAGTTTTCCAAAACCTACTGATGGTGGCATCAATGGTCTTTAACATGCAAGACATCGAGTGAACAGCTCTCTCTACAGGCTATGTATGAAGATACAGGGGTTGGCAAACCACAGCCAAACCCACCCCACCGCTTGTTTTTGTGACTCAGGCTTTCCTGTAGCACCAAACCAAGAAAACCAAGCCAGTTGCCATGGCGCTGACTCCCACGCACGGCACCACCACGGGTGCAGAGCAGAACCACCCTCCATGGGGTCTGCAGGGCTGTGACTGTGGACAAGCAGGTTACCAGGCCTTTGGCCTGAGGCTGGGAGTTCAGCACTCAACCGTCTGCACAGCCCAGGACTCCACGCCAGAACACGGCCATGCCCAGTTGTTTACGTACCGTCTAGGGCTGCTTTCAAGGAACCCTGGGGGCACAATGGTTAAAGTCCTTGGAAGGGGAGCAGTTCAAACCCACCAGCAGCTATGCCGGACAAAAGGCCTGGCAACCCGGTCCTATAAGGATCACAGCCTCGGAGACCCTAGGGAGTGGTTCCGCTCTGTCCTAAGGGGTTGCTGTAGGGTCAGAATCGATGCCATGGCAACGATGATTACTTTTTTTAGGGCTGTTTTCACACTGCAACAGCAGAGCTGAGTAGTAACAACACAGACCATGGGGCCCACAAAGCCTAAAACATTTACCATCTCACCCTTTATAGAAAAAGCTGGCCAACCTCTGGTCTGAAAAATTGCAAGAGGACACCGTCCCCCTCTGTGTGAGTCTGTGTGAAGGGGTCCATCCTGGCGACAGCTCATGATAGTCAAGCCCCCATAGCTGACTTCACAGAAGGCACACGCACCGTAAGCGAAACTTCTAGTCTCATGAACTATAGATACAGCTATCTGTCTAGCTATCGAAGGAGCCCTCATGGCACAGTGGTTAGGCACTTGGCTGCTAACCGAAAGGTCAGTGGTTTGAAGCCACCAGCTGCTTTGTGGGAAAAAGAAGTGGTGGTCTGCTTCTATAAAATTACAGCTGAGGAAACCCTATGGGGCAGTTTTACTTTGTCCTACAGGGCTGCTATGAGTCAGAATCAACTTGATAGCAACTTGTGTGTGTGTGTCTATGTCTTCGTGGGAAAATGGAATTCAAAACCAGAGCAAAAGCATTAATTATGTATTAGGAAGAAACACCTTACTAAAGGCTAGGACTCTCCACAACTTATTACCAGGGCATTATTTTGGGGGCTTTTTAACATGGATTGTGAATCCAAGAGAACTTAGACTTTAAAGTTTATTTTGGGCAAAAACCATTATATATGTGTGTGTGTGTGTGTGTGTGTATATATATATAATCTTTCTCTCTCTAGGTAAATATGTATATATGTGTGCACACACATGCACACATATATGGAGCTCTGGTAGCATAATGCCTACAGCACTTGACTGCTAACCAGAAGGCTGGTGGTTCAAACCAACCAGCCACACCTCAGAAGGAAGGTTGGGCAATCTACTTCCGTAGTGATATTGCCTCAGAAACCCAAGGAGAGGTCACTATGAGTTGAGTCTGACTCGACAGCACATAACAACAATATACATATATATATTTCAACAGTGCATAATGCACACAGTAATCACTTTAAAATGTCTTCAGAATTCTATTCAAACACCACTGCCTGGCCTGTTCCCCAAGCCCACCCCATCTAATTAATTCCCTTTGTTCCATGAATGAACAGATTGATAAATAAGTGCACACATGAACAGAAGCCTACATGGTTAGAGGCTGAACTGATTTTTGCTTAGAAAATACCTCTTCCTCCACTGTATCAGGACAGTGTGTCTGCCTACTCACCCTGACACTCAGTGGGTTTCTCAGGTAGGTTTCTGCCACGTCACCGACAGGCCTCCCACATTACATGATCACCCAGCAGTCCCCCGGGAGCCCGCTGTCGCTCAGACTCCTACAAGTCTTCCTCACCATTTCTATGTCCCTGTATTCCTCACTTATGCTTTTTTTTTTTTTTTTTGCATGAACAGGAATTCTCTCTCTCAAGCAGCCCAGTCAGCCAGCCTCCCAGCCCAGTGCCCCACAAAGGACCTCAAGTTGCCGTCTACCTTGTGGGCAGGGGTCTAGGTATTAGAATGTTGGGCTCCACTTGAGTCCATATTGGAGACACACCAGACCGGGCACAGCAGTGTGGGTGGGAGGCATGGATTCTCACTTGACTCCACGCCTAGTGTCTACCTTGTGAGTGCGGCTGTCTTGACCTTTTCCATGGCCAGCTGCTGCTGGAGTGCTTCTGCCCTCCCCCGGGAGGGACAGAGAACTCGGCACAGGGTCGCTGCAGACGGTCTCTTCTTTGGATCAGGGTGGATCATGTTCTGATGATGCAGGCCCAGAAGGAAGGAGAGAGAAGTTTCACTCCCGGGAACCCACCCAAGCCGCCTCCATCCCAGCTTCCCCCACGTTTGCTGCGGAACTCTCCCTCTGCTCTGTGGGGGGGTGAGCGAGAGCGTGGCCCCTGGGACAGGAGGCTCACCCCTGCCCGGTAGCATCAGCCGTACTCCCCTTGGCTCATCTTTAAGCATCGCGGAGAAGGCTGGCTGATTACCTAGCCTAATCCCTTGCAATGTGAGAGAGGAAGAAACATAGGCCTTAAGATCAAAAGTGACTGGCAGAGCCAAGACCAAACCCTCGTTACCCAACTCTGAGTCCAGCCCTCTTCACACTGACTCAGCTCCTTTTCTGCTTAAAATGAATCAGGAACCCCCTACCATGATGTCTCAGGCAGAAGACATGATGAATGTATAGGGCAGACACATCTAACTGTACACAGCAGCTAGAAGTATGGAATGGGGACAGCACGGACCAAGGCCGCCAGCCAGCTCCACCATTTACTATGGAGCTTGAGCAAGTCACCTGGCTTTGGTGAAACTCCACTTCCTTTTCCTGAGAAGGAGGGTGACAGCATGCACCTTGCGGGACGGTTGTGGGGGTTGAATGAACTGACCTCCGTGTGTCACCTTGCACGGGGCCAGCATGGAAGGACGCAGCATCAGCTGAATGGGAGAGTGGTTTCCAGACAGAAACATGACCAGACTAGGAACAAAAGACCACTGTGGGGCAGGTTTGCCTCCTTCCGTCAGGAGAGGGAAGAAGTCGGGAAGGAGGATGCGTATCTGAAGTTGGCAGGTAAACTATGGAACTCAGAACCTATTTCCAGGGGAACAGATCTGTCTAAGGCTATTTTAGGGATGCTAATCCTGTCCCTGCAGGAACTCTGGCAGTGCAGTGGTTAAGGCATTTGGCTGCCAATCTGAAGGTCAGTGGTTTGAACCCATCAGCCGCTCTGCAGGGGAAAGGTGGGGCAGTCAGCTTCTGTAAAGTTTTGCAGCCTTGGAACCCAGTGGGGCTTGCTATGAGTCAGAATTGACTCGAGGGCAGTGACTTTGGTTTTGAGTTTTGAACCGTGTCCTAAGGAGCCCTGGTGGCACAGTGGTTGAGTGCTCAGCTGCTAACTGAAAGGTTGGTGGTTCGAACCTGCCCACAGCTCTTCAGGAGAAAGATATGGCAGTCTGTTTCCATGAAGATTTACAGCCTTGGAAACCCCATAAGGCAGGACTACTCTTACCAATGGGGAACACTATGAATCAGAATCGACTCAGTGGCAGTGGGGTTAGTGTTTATGGAACCCCACCCTAAAAGAAGCCCTGGTGGCACAGTGGTTAAACGGTTGGCTGCTAATCTCAAGGTCAGCAGTCTGACCCACAAGCTGCTCTGTGGGAAAAGACGTGGCAGTCTTCTGTAAAGATGTCCACCTCTGGAAACCCCATGGGGCAGCTTTACTTTATCCTGCAGGGTTGGTATCAACTCAACAGCAATGGGTTTGGGGAACTCCGTTCTGGTCCACAAGCCATGAGTAAGTTGTATGTAAACCTTTGCGTGTTCTAAGCTTCTCAATAGTGTGGGCCTTTTGGGACCTCTGTTTGCTCCCAGAGGAGCCCTGGTGGCCCAGTGGTTAAGCATTTGAATAGTAACTGAAAGGTCAGCGGTTCAAATCCACCCACCACTCCACAGGTAAAAGATGTGGCAGTGTGCTCCCGTGACAATTACAGCCTGGAAACCCTAAGAGGCATTTCTACTCTGTCCTCTAGGGTCACTATGAGTTGGAATCAACTCAATGGCAATGGGTTTGGGTTTTGGGCTCCAAAGTATTATTCCTTTCCTTGTCCCTGCACATACCTCAGAGATCATCCAGCACAGTTACCACAGAGATTACAGAATGGGCATTGTGCTTATCTTCCAGGAGCTCAAATGGTGGGTGGTATTACCAGCTATCAACCAATAAAATAGCTTATACTTGCTCCTATATGCTCAACATTCAGTTCTTGTCATCCTGTCACCACGTGGAACATTGGTAATGGTTAGAAGCCTGAAACAGAAGCTGAAAGAGCAGGTTCGGATTTGGGTGGATTAATTACAAGCCAGGGACATGCTCTGAGCCTTGGTTTTTGCAGCTGCGGAGTGGAATCCCTGTCCATCTTATATAGTTGCTAGAAAGGGCAAATGAGAAAAAATGTTTGCAGCAGGATGTTGCAAACTATAATGCCAAAGGTTTCATGATGTCTTCTGAGTTTTCCTGACAAGTTGTCAGTCTGTCCTGTGTCTTTTCTGGGCTGCCTAATCCTGGTCACTTTGTCCTCCTTCTTAATGGCATTGCCAGCACCCTTCCCTGCCCCTTCCCCCATCTACTTGCCATAATATATATATATATATATTTTTAAAGACATGTCCATCTTCTCCATCTCAGAAGACAAAGCACCTTGAGCAGACCGTAGAAGTTTTCAGAGAGCGTCTGCTGAATGTCCGGAAGGTTCCCCTGGCGGATACGATGCCAGGCAACGCCATTGGTGGGTAATGACTCGGCTCCCGCAGCCATCACAATTGTTAATCCCAAGGCAAATATGTCTGCTTTGGGAAGGTGGTGATAATCCTTCAAAACATAAGCCAGGAAGGCAGGTTAGTCTGCCAGCAAAGTGAGTCTCAGCCAACACATAACTCTTAAGAGAAGTTCATTTGAGTGTGTGTACGCTCTACACAGATACACGGGCAAGGTCACACCGCTGGGGTTAGAGGAGACAGAAGAAGTGAAAATCCACCTGGTAAACAATGCTGGGCCCTGAGGGACCCAGGACCGCATGGTGGTGCCATTTTGCCTGTCAGGCTCAAAGAGGCTTGAGGCATTAATGGCTGGTTACAGGAAGGAAGAACTTATTTGGAGACTTATATTCTATCCTAGGCCCAACTGGCCAGACATCTAGATGGATGATGACTAAAGGTCATTCAATAAGCAGAACTGGTAGTGCTATCAGAAGGGTGGTAGCCTGATAAGGATGGGTTGGGCCAAGAAGGGCTTGAGGGAAAGGCTTCTTTCCTGGTAGACACTGTGAGGACTAGGAGACGCAGCACAGGGCCTGTACAAAGAACAGCGGGAGCACTGTCTCACTCAAGGGGCCCAGTTCCCGCATGAGTTTTCAGAAAAGTTTCCTTCCCACCGTTAGTGTCTATGCTGAAAGGGAAAAGGGACACTGAAGCTGAAACTATAAATATGCACTTTTCCTATCTCACACTGTGAGCCTTCTTTGAGAGTTCATGGTTCAACGGATTACAAATGCCACTTTTCTCCAGTCTGTACCTCTTGCAAGATCTCCTTAGCCAGGAAGCGAATATCACCCTCTTCCACTTTGGTGTTACTTATTGATGTCACATGGCCCAGGTCACCTAAAGACAAAAGGGAGGTGAGAATACAGAGCACCCTTTGAAAGCATGTCTCCTGAGAGCTGGAACTGAGTTTCTGAGACTGCCATGTGCTGGTAGAGGTGTAAGGCCGACTCACCGATTTTGTAGATGACATCGGCAGAGAGAAACCAGTCTGCCTCATTCTCAACCTCTTCAGGAGCTACAGGAGAGTCACTTTGCACCTTATGACAAATGAAAATGTTACCTGAAAAAATACAGAACTGATCTAAGTAATGACTCCTAAGCTTTTTCACTCCAAAGACTTTTCAGTATCTGACATCCCAGGTTCCTTCCTCCCTCTTCCTCTGCATTGATGCGACAAGACTGCCAAGGTTTCTCTACTGTGGGCCCTCTCCCATTACTCATGATCAGCTCTGTTACTGGTCATGCCTGTTTAAGGTCAACTGGCCCCAGACATTCCCCATCCCCTGAAGAGACTGGTGGAAGGGTACTATTACAGACACACACACACACACACAATAGGAACAGCCTGCCTCTGGGTCTCACATTAGCAAATGGGGGAACCACCAATCATCGCCCACTTTGATTGGTGCTGAACTGGAAGGGGTATAGTGCTAGTCATAAACACGATCGGGATGTAGTCAATATGCTGTCCCTTTGCTGGGTCATAAATTTAATAAGTACTTTCATAGTTTGTCCTCATTATATTGGGAAGAAACTTCCCTTGGTCCTCCGGGCCCAGGAGCAAAGTAGATAAAGCAGCCTAACTAATACTTTTTAGGGGTGACAGGTACAGGGAGGGCGTTCTGCTGGCAAACACTTTCTTTGGCACTTGATAAACACACAGGCAAGGCTTCTGAGGACAGTGGGGAGAGGACAAGCCACACGGCAGGCGTGGAGGGGAGTGTACTGACTGGGCTTGATGTCCATGTGCACCAGGCTGGAGCTGTGGATGTACTTGAGCCCCAGTGAGACTTGCAGAAGGATGTCCTTGAGTTTGGGCTCTTGGAAGTGATCGTTGGACTTCTTGTTTTCAGATATGGCAGTCTGCAAGCTCCCACCTGGGAAAGAACAACAGAGTTCCTCACAGAAGGAGGGAAAACCTATGATGATGGCTGGATGACAGCAAATATTTCACAAATCCCTCATCAATGACTCAGCCCAACAAGTCTAGATCACTTCCCAGGTCAGTGTGAAATAACCATACCTGCCCTGTGTCCATAGCACAATGGAAAGAAGACCCACAGGGATTTAAAAGAAGAAAAGAAAATTCTAACAGCCCAGGTTTCCCATACGTGCCTCTCCTGCCCCCAGTGGCCTGGAATGGCACTGTAGATTCCCCCGCCTGTCGGTTTGTCCCGCTGTGGTGGTCTGCATGTTGCTGTGATGCTGAAACCTTTGCCACCAGCATTTCAAATGGCAGCCGGGTCACCCACAGTGGACAGGTTTCAGTGCGGCTTCCAGGCTAAGACCAGGATGGAAGGACTGATCTTCTGAAAACTAGCCAATGAAAAGCCAGTGGATCATGATAAGATATTGTCCAAGATGAGCCTCCTGGGTTGGAAGGCACTCAGATACACAGCGGCTGTGACCACGGACTTGAGCACACCAACCACCATGAAGGTGGTGCTGGCTGGGCAGCGTTTCATGTAGTTGGACATGGTGTAGCCATGAGTCAGAGCTGCCTCGATGGTACCTGCCAACAACAAACACTGTGTACATTTCACCTAATTATTAAGCCAAGTAAGTCGAAGGCCAATCAGGCCTGATGGCAGAGCTACTAACACATAAACCATCATTCCATTCTACTGTCATGAGACTTAGGCAGGGACCATTAAGGCATTCTGGTGGCTTAGGGACCATTAGTAATTTTAATAATCCTAAAGTTAATACTACTAAAAATATATCACGAGGTAAGAGTGTAAATGATCGTTCACCTAAGAAAAAAATAAAACCTCTATATAAATCCTATTTGTGTCACAGTATTTGTAAACCAGCCCTAAATACTGAGTGTTACCAACTGAAAAAAGGGGCGTGGGTCCATATGACCACTTGACATTGAATGCCCCACCCTGAGTGCTACATACTTTATAAGGAGCACTGGTGTCACAATGGTTAAGTGCTCAGCTGTTAACCAAAAGGTTGGTGGTTCAAACCCTGCCCCTTGAAATTTCATGGGAGAAAGACATGGTAATCTACTGCCATAAAGACTGACAGCCTTGGAGACCCTGTGGGGCAGTTCCACTCTGTCCTCTAGGGGTGCTGTGAGTCAGAATGGACTCCACAGCTCCTACAATACATACTTGATCTCATCATTTAGCAAGCATTGGCAGATACTTCAGTCAAATTATAGACTCCTGGATCTCACTGGCAGTTATAAAGCCCTTAGCCCCACCCTCTCAGAACAACAGGATGTGAGATGGTGATCAGATTTTTAAGGAAATGAATTTAAAGGTATCCTGTGTACAAATGAATCTAGACCAATCTGTCAGACTAAAAACATTATGTTCAAAAGGGAAAAGAATTCAGCTCTTTATGAAATACATGGTGGGCTACAGGAGGAGCTCTGGTAGCGTGGTGCCTAAGGCATTTGACTTAACCAGAAGCCTGGCGGTTCAAACCCACCAGCCACTCCTCAGCAGGAAGGTTGGGCAATCTACTTCCATAGTGATATCACCTCAGAAACTCAAGGAGGGGTTGCGATAGTCAATGTTCATCCATTTCAGAAGGTGGCATATGATCAAGAACCAATGGTATTGAAGGAAGAAGTCAAAGCTGCACTGAAGGAACTGGTGAAGAACAAGGCTCCAGGAATTGATGGAATACCCATTGAAATGTTTCAACAAATGGATGCCCCACTGGAGGCACTCACTCGGCTATGCCAAGAAATTTGAAAGACAGCTACCTGGCCAACTGACTGGAAAAGATCCATATTTGTACCCATTCCAAAGAAAGGTGATCCCACAGAATGTGGAAATTATCAAATAATATCATTAATATCACATGCAAGTAAAATCTTGCTGAACATAATTCAAAAAAGTTGCAGCAGTATACTGACAGAGAGCTTCCAGAAATGCAAGCTGGATTGAGAAGAGGATCTAGTACAAGTGATATCTTTGCTTATGTCAGATGGATCTTGGCTGAAAGCAAATACCAGAAAGATGTTTACTTGTGTTTAATTGACTATGCAAAAGCATTCTATTGTGTGGATCATAATAAATTATAGATAACATTGAGAAGAATGGGAATTCCAGAACACTTGATTGTGCTCGTCAAGAACCTGTCCATAGAACAGGGGGACACTGCATGGTTTAAAATCAAGAAGAGAGTACATCAGGGTTGTATCCTTTCACCATACTTATTCAGTCTGCATGAGGAACAAATAATCCAAGAAGGTGGACTATGTGACGAAGACCATGGCATCAGGATTGGAGGAAAACTCATTAACAACCTGTAATACGCAGATGACACAATTTTGCTTGCTTAAAGTGAGGATGACTTGAAGCACTTACTGATGAAGATTAAAGACTACAGTCTGCAGTATTAATTATACCTCAACATAAGGAAAACAAAAATCCTCACAGCTGGGCCAATCAGCAGCATCACGATGGGTGGAAAAACGTTTGAATTTGCCAGACTTCATATTACTTGATTCCACAACCAACACCGATGGAAGCAGCAGTCGACATCAGATGAAATATTGCACTGGGCAAATCTGCTGCAAAAGACCTCTTTAAAGTGCTGAAGAGCAAAGATGTCTCCTTGAAGACTAAGGTGCACCTAACCGCATTGTGGTATTTTCAGTTCCCTCATATGCATATGAGAGCTGGACAATGAACAAGGAAGACTGAAGAAGAGTTGATGCTTTTGAGTTGTGGTGTTAGTGAAGAATACTGAAAGCACTATAGACTGCCAAAAGAACTAACAGATCTGCCCTGGAAGAAGTGCTCCTTGGAAGCAATGGCCAGACTTCATCTGACCTACTTTGGTCATGTGGTCAGAAGGGACCATACCTTGGAAAAGGATATCATGCTTGGTAACATGGAGGATAAACAAAACAGGGGAAGGCCCTCAACAAGATGGATTGACACAGTGGCCGCAACAATGGGCTCAGGCGTGACAAGAATTGTGAGACTGGCACAGGACCAGGCAGTGGTTTGTTCTGTTGTACATAGAGTCACTATGAGTCAGAGACGACTCGATGGCACCTAACAACAACAACGGTGCAGGTAAAGTTACTAGATTACCACGATGACTCCATAACCTACCACATCTAGTCCAGACCCACTGCCTGACTCTCAGGGCCCTCGTAGTGTTCCCACTGTTGACCTTATTGCCTATGGCTGAATAGTGCATAGGGCTCACCTCTGCAAAGTTCATCTCTTGACTATAAGACCTACTCCCAATGCCATACCTTTTGCCTGAGTGCTGTCCCCTAACACATGCACATGCCTTCACTCTGTTCCCTCAACTCTAGTCATCCATCCACAGAGTCAAATTCAAGTGTTACTGCCCCTAAGGAATTTTCTTAGGCTACTCTAATAACTGTTATTGAGTTCTTACTATGCATCAGGTATTGACCCTGTGCTAGTATTTGACATGTATTATTGTTAATTCTCAAATTACTCCTTAGTAAGAATTACTATCTGACTACTTAGTGAGATTCAGTGACATCCCAGACACAACTAGTCAATGGAGCTGGGCCTTGAGCCCAGGTCTGCCTGCCTTTACAGCAAAACTCCTTCCACCCTCGTGCACACCCCTCACTCTGATTCATCGTCTCTGAATGCTTCTGTCTACCGGTATTTCATCTGGCTTTGCACTTGATTTTCTCTTATGTATTCGTATTCACAGAGTACATGGAGTAAAACACCTTAAAATAAGGATTTACCTCATCCCCCCCTAGAATCCCCAGTCTTCCTTCCACGGAGTGGCTGGTGAGTTTGAACCTCCAGCCTTCTGGTTAGCAGTCAAATGCCTTAGGCACTATGCCACCCGAGCTCCTAGAGAACTGTGGTGTCAAGACTACAGGAGGGATTCAGAGGTGGATGAACTGGACCATGACCTATAACAGGAATCATCACCCCATCTTACTGGTTTTTAATTTGAAATGTTTATATTGCTCCAACTTGGGCTAAATTCAGTTTTGTTTAATTAATTTTTGTAAGAATCTTCACTATTTTATGTTATTTTTCTGGGTGGAGACTGAAGAGTCATTGACCACAAGCCAATCTTCCTAATAGCAGAAGGAAGATAGAAAATAGGGGACCGCAGAGTGTGATGGCAGGAATTAGGAAGAGACGATTAAGGAAAGCCCCAGCCTCATGAGTACCACATACAAGTGGTACGGATTGAATGATGTGCCCACAAAACCTGCAGTGAAGTCCTGGCCTCTGTACAGGGATGTGATCCTGCTTGGAAGTAGGATTTTCTTTTGTTTTGTTAATGAGGTCATTGCTGTTGTTATGTGCCTTGAGTTGAACCCGACTCATAGCGACCCCTCCTTGGGTTTCCGAGGCAGTATCTCTACGGAAGTAGATTACCCAGCCTTCCTTCCGAGGAGTGGCTGGTGGGTTTGAACCTCCAGCCTTCTGGGTAGCAGTCAAGTGCCTTAGGCACAATGCCACCAGAGCTCTACTAGAGCAGAGTGGGTCCCAAAGCTAACCACTGCTGAGTTATGAAAAGAACAGATTAAACACAGAGACACACACACAGGGTGAGGACAGACGCCATGAGGTGAGCGGTCTACAGCAAAGGAACACAGAGCCCTGCTGGTGATCACCAGAAGCAAGGAGGGCGGCCATCTCCGCTGCCAGGACCCGGGTTCGGACTTCCAGCCTCCAGCGTTGTGAGAGGAGAAAGCTCTGTTCTTGAAAGCCACCCACTTGTATTTTTGTATGATCCTAGGACGATAGGGAAGGATTCCATTTTTTCTTTTTTCCAGAGAAAGGAGTTGGGATGAACTTATTGGAGAAAACCCCACAAGTTCACAAGTAAGGCTGCAAGGAAATCGGGCTGTACAGAAGAGCAACTACCCTTAAAGAAGTGTGGGAGGACAGCCTGCCTAGAGGGTCCCATCCGGCCACGGCCCCAGAACGTTCTCGGGTAAGGACACTGGGGATCGGGATTCTCTCCCCCCATCCCTTCCCCTTTCAGAGAAGCCCTCCTCCCTGTTCTGAGCACACAGTAACTTTGCCCCTTGCTCACGCATGGGCACCATACGGCACGTACTCAACCCTACCGTCTCCATGACCACTTAATTGTGCTAAGTATGCACCCCAGGGGAGCCAATTTCTCCAGTGACCCACCATATCATTAATCAGAAAATGCAGATTTCATTAATCTGAATTAATCCAAAATTAATCTTGCATTTAGAGGGAGAGGCATGTTCTTTCTGGTTAGGGACCTTGCCCACAGGAGAGCTGTAGTATACAAACCTGAACAAAAGACCGCCCGGCCGGCAGTGACCAGACCAGCTGCCGCTGAACGAGGGCCCCATCCTCTTTCCTGCCTTCCCTTCTCCCATGAACGTCAAGCATATAGTATACCCCCCTCCGGTTCACACTAGAAGAGCCCCAGGCCTGAGTTCCCCTTGATACCTCACCCACAATGGGGTGAGGGGTGTGCAAGGGGGTTACTATTATGGCCTTGGACAGGAGGCTTCAGGGGGAGCCTGGTTCCTGGCAAACCCTAACGTGTTTATCATTGTCCCATTCATATGTAAGTAATAAAGCCCTGTGTTCATGTCAGTGAGTCACGTAATTATTTGTTGCAAGCTGAAGAGCCCTGTGCTGTCTGATTTATTTTACTGAGAACATCACAATAAGGAAAATGCCACGTCCTTATTTTGTAGGATGTACCATTTGCTATCTGTCTACCAGCTCACAGTGTTGTTCGTTTACCCAGTGTTGACATATTTAGTTATCTAGTGATGAGGTTTTATTACTGATCCTCTATCCTCAAAAGACAGGTTGGACATCCACACTCAGGGCCATCTGGTGAGCACTAAAATTACCAATGACAGGTGTGACTATTAAACAACCTCAGGGAAGGCGTGTGGGGGACCCGGGAGTAAGGGGGTGGGTTCAATATCTGATGTCACCACTCCCAGTATGTGAACGGCCATTCCTAAAATTAGGGCAAGCTCAATTCTATGAGGGGGCACCTTTCTGCTTTATCATGAATATTTTCATGAAAAATATTCCCAAGACTGTGAGTCGGGTTGGACTTAATGGCACATAACAACAACAACAACAACAGCACAGAGCTGATGTTACACCAAACCCCGAATGACAGATTAAAAATACATTAAACCAAAGGGGCTCCTCTTTGTGTGTTAAGCCACCTGGAAGCGAGATTTCGCAGGTCACTGTGGACCTAGGGAAATATGACTGGAATCACTGAGTTTCAGGATCACCGCTGTCTCACCTGCCCAGACCTCTAAAGAAAGAAGCAGCAAAAAGCATGAACTTTCCCAAGCCCAGGGAGCCACTTGAAAATTAATTAGAAGTTGACTGTACATCCATCCAGTTCAAGATGAAAAAAGCCTTACCCCCTCCAAAACAAGGATAGTGGACATGCTTTGTATCTTCTGAATGCTTAGCAGAGGAGCCCTGGTCGCTCAGTGGTTCAGCACTTGGCTGCTAAGCAAAAGGTCAGTGATTCAAGCCCACCAGGCGCTCTGCTGGAGAAATACGTGGCAGTCTGCTTCTGTAAAGATGACGGCCTTGGAAACCCTGTGGGGCAGTGCTACTCTGTCCTCTAGGGGCGCTGTGAGTCAGAATCCCCTCCACGGCAGGGAGAGGAAGACCCTTAGCAGATGATAAGTGATGATTTACCACCCACACCACTCTTGTGTTGTTGTTATGTGCCGTTGAGTCAGCCCCGACTCACAGTGACCCCTCCTTGGGTTTCCGAGGTGCTATCACTACAGAAGTAGATTGCCCAACCTTCCTTCCAAGGAGTGGCTGGTGGGTTTGAACCGCCAGTCTTCTGATTAGCAGTCAGGTGCCTTAGGCACTACACTACCAGAGGGTAATAGTTTTGTCTCTGAGCACCAAGTAAAGATTGAAGGGAGTGATAGTGTCAATGTATCAGCTACACACACAGGGGCTTTGGCAGAATGACAGGAAAAGTCATTTTCAGCTCAGCACATCTCTCCCAGCACTCTGCTCCTAAGCGAGGCTATAGTTAGGGTTAGGGTTAGCGGACTGCATAGGGGTGACTGCATGCTGGCATAAACTACGAGGCAAAGACTTCTGAAGAAGCCTTTCCTTAAAGTCACTCACTTCAAAAGACCCACCAAAAAACAAGCAAAACAATACAATCTGAAACAATCACATGATAGTTTAGGAAATACTTCATCTCTTGTCTGGAAAACCCAGAAAGGTTCCACCTGTAAGACAGCATCCAACTGAGGGGGGTCAGCAAAAAAAGAGGAAGACCCTCAAGACGGACTGACATGGTGGTTTCAACAATGGGTTCAAGCACTACAAGGGTTGTGTGGATGGTGCAGGACCGTACTGTTCTGTACTGTATATGGGGTCACTGTGAGTTGGGGCTGACTCAATGGCACCTAACTACAACAACAACAATTTAAAAAAACTCACAGCACCCCTGGAGGACAGAGTAGCACTGCCCCACAGGGTTTCCAAGGCTGTCATCTTTATGGAAGCAACAATTTCTTCAGAAATTGTGACTAGGAATACCATCGGATCCAGCGATCCCATGCTTGGTATACGTCCTAGAGAAATAAGAGCCACGACATGAACAGATTTATGTGCACTCATGTTCATCACAACGTTATTCACCACCACAACAAAATGGAAACAACCTAAGTGCCCATCAGCGGATGAATGGATCCACAAACTACGGCACACAGGCACAACAGAATACTGAGCAATGTGGTGAAACAACAATGGATCCGCAAAACATCTCAGAATGTGGATGAACCTAGAGGACACTATGAGAGTGAGGTCACAAAAGGACAACCACTGTAGGAGACCAGTGCGGTAAAAAGTTAAAAGAAGGCTTATTCACAGAAAGAACCATGTTTGGAAGCCCCAGGGATGGGAGAAGGAGAGGGTGAATCACTCACCAGACGGCAGACGCCTATTAACTAGGCTGAAGGGAAAGGCTAGGTAGGTGGGGGGAGGTCAGCACAAAATGATCAAGGCAGAGCAGGGCCCTGGGAGGAGCTCAGGGGTTCAAGGAAACATAGATGAGTACGATTACACACGACCCTGGAATAGCAGTGATAACCATACTCTAGGAGTGGGTGCACATCCAACGTACTGCCAATCCATCCATGAACCAACGTAGCAGACCATCCAGGCGACAAGGTTAGGAAAACGTCTCAGTCATAACCAACCACGCTGAGGAAAGAGGCCCTGTGCATGGGGGCTCAGGATCATAGCTTTGGGAGACACTGAAGTCAACAGGCATAACATAAAGAAGATGGTCTGGTTGTCCATCACATCAGCGCTATTTGCAGCCATTCGCCCGGCACCTACCATTGCAGTACTCGTTCTGAATGATCATGTGGTCGTCTTCCGCCCAGGCCGAGTAGTAACGCACCACGTGGGGGTGATGTCCAAGCACTGCATGAGCATACACTTCCCGCAAAGCCAAATCCCTGAGACGGAAGGGCACCGAGGAAAGGTCACTAAGACAGTGCTCACAAAATGCCGTCCGAGGACGAGGCATGGGTAACACACTGGCAGGACACGTCCTGAGCGCCCGCTACCTCTCCCGTGATTCTCTCTCAGTCACTCTCCCTAACCGCTGGCCACAGCAGGCACCGCTCTTCCCAGGGCCCGGGGGCGACGCAAGCTCCAGGCAGCTAGGCAGCTGACCCAGATTCTCAGAGGGAAGAACCGGCCCAAGGCCAGGACTTGGTCTGCCTGTGCTCAGTGATGGACATGCTCTGGGTCCTAATTACACTGTACTGTAGTCTCCAGTTAAAGAGGTGGCACAGCCATGGGCTTGTAAGAAATCTTAAAGGACCGACCAAGGAGGCACCCTGGGCCTGACTGTGCACATTGTGACAGGGCTGTGTCTTTTCCATGAAGACTCCATGTTACCACTAAACGCAATCAACATGATGCAGCCAAAGGGGCAGTCTTGGGGAGAGTTATTCACTATGGAATAGGAGAGGCCACCCAATAAAAGCAGAATGCAGTTCTTGGTGAATTCCAGTATAAAAATGCGGGATTCCAAAGCCTGTAATTTCAGATCCAACATGCGAAGTATTGTATCCTAAACATCTGAAGAGCACTGGCTGAATCAGAAAATGTTTGTTTTCCCTGTGATCAAGGAACAAATTTTGAACAACTAGCTCTGGGAATGCAACATAAATGCCTGTTAATAGCTTGACTATTGACTTCATTATTGATACAAGGCAAGGCAAGCCAGTGAGTCAGCAGTGCCTTCCAACTCGTCAATATTTCTGATGAACTGAGCAGGCACAGAAGACATTCCACAAATCAGTCATTAAAAAAAACCAGGAAGACCAGTAGTAGGAGGCCAAGAGGCCAATCACAAACAAAGCTAAACCCACAGTCTGAAATCATCAGGTCATAATTTAGGAAAAAACTCGTTGCCGATCTGGAAAACTCAGGACTGCTATGAATGTGAGACAGCATAGAAATGAGGGAGGGTAACAAAAAAAGACAATGGTATGTTAATGATATCAAAATATTATTTATGCTATTTTGACAAGAAACAGCTCTCCAGTCCCACTGTGTACTTTCGGTACATTGCAAAGGTACTCACTCATCTGAAAACCCTGTGAAAGGTTTCGTGGAGCGTTTTATGGCGTAAACACATCCATCCAACCTCTTAACGCACTTGTAGACGGTACCAAACTCCCCAACCCCAATCTTTTCAACCTCCAGGAATTCCTTTTCGTAGCGGGAAGTCATGTTGGTTTCTCGTAGGACAGATCTCTGAAAAAATGAAAAAGGAAGTTCAAATAAAATTCTTCCGAACACATTGTGAGCCATCAAGTTGAGGCATGTTGAAGAACACCATCAATGACATTGAATCACACACACAGAAACTGTGGATTGGTGAATGTCTTGTGTATGTTTTCATCACAATAATTATTCTTTTAAGTCAAGGCATGTTGAATTCCTATGTTGCTCTTAGCTTTCAAAAAGACTTCTGAGGCAGACCCAATGGATTCTATGTGCATCCATACTCAAGTATGTGTCCATACACAAGTGAACTTCTCTCTGCTTCGTGTAACCTTTCATACATGTCTGTGCTCATGTTTCCCTCGTATCTTCTCCAACACCCTTTCTTCTGTCTTCATGCAGATCTTCCTGATACGTTCCTACAGGGGACATGTGTACTCAGACCCAGACAGCTCCTGTCCTCCACTGGGGGCAGGGTGAAACATGTTTTAAAAAGACATCTCCCTTGGCCTCTCCTGTCTACCTGTCTCATAGTCTAGATCCCATGTTTCTATCTCAAATGTAATAAACACATTTGTTGTCAACTCGCTCCCCCAAAAATCTTTTCTTCATTGTCTGGGAACCAAATTGAGTTGGCGATTTCAGAGCGTGTGTTCCCCCTACTGGCCCACCAGCAACACCACTCATTGTTCAGCTAGTAAATCACACGTTGTTAGTACCCATTTTCTCATCTGTAAGACGAGAATCAAGGCCACTAGCCATTAGGATTCTCTTAAATATTACATGAGAACCTGTAAATAACTGAGAACAATTCCAAGCATGTGGAAAAGATGACCAACAGCCATATACATTTACATTAATCTCAATCCAAGTTGACTTATGTCCCCACAGTCACCTTTTCCCAGTGCCATCAGCAAGACTTTCTTTCTTATATAAAATTAAGATTTATAAGTATGTTGAGTCTTCCTAGCTCTTCATTTTCAATAGCCAATTCCAATCACTCTTCATCATCAAGAGCTGCAATATTCATTGCCCCTAGATAATCTCAAGCTTTGTTTCTGCCATGTCTGTATTTCTAACTACCCAGCCCTCCCCGCCATGTCTTCTAATTGTTAACCATTAATTTTGAGAAATGATGCTGTAGAATCAGAGACATCTAACGGTTGCTCTTGAACTTCTGTCCAAAGACCTGAAGACACCAGTTGCACACCCACTACCTTCCACGCTCATCTCAGACATCAACAAGCCAGTTTGCCACCTACATGCTGCCAACCCGCTGCCACCCCTCCGCTCCTCTGCCTAGAATTGTCTCAATAATGCCATCTCTTCTACTGAAGTCTTGTTTCCTGCAAGAGTATCTCTACTCCCGCATAGAGATGGATTTTAAGCATATACATAGACACATGGAATGTATTTACACATCACACATATGTATACACATAGGTATTTACACATAACTACACACACTGCCTAGCTCCACACTCATACCTACATTGTTTTCACACGTATTTCGAAGGTGTTAGAAAGCCAGCCTTCTCGGGCAGTGATTTTTGTACAGGTTCCCCATCCCCACCATGGGGTCTAAAAGGAGCTCTGGTGGCACAGTGCCTAAGGCACTTGACTGCTAACCAGAAGGCTGGCAGTTCAAACCCACCAGCCACTCCTCGGAAGGAAGACTGGGCAATCTGCTTCTGTAGAGATACCGCCTCAGAAACCCAAGGAGGGGTCGCTGTGAGTCAGAATTGACTCGACAGCAGTGAGTTTGGTTTTGGTTCTAGGGTCTAAATGCAATGATTTGCACATATTAAGTGCTCAAAAAAATGTCGGTATTTTTGTCTGAAACCAGGAGATAGCGTATAAAATAAGTTAAAGACAAAATCTAGTCAAACAGGAAAAGCCTGAGTCAGAGTCACGTATGTATGAAGATGGGCTTCAAGTGGCCTGTGCTACCTTACCCTGTTACCTTAGATCCCAAGGCTCTCTGGTATTAAATCCATGCTTCTAATAGCCAAGTATTAATATTTTTTAAAAAAAACTAACACATTTTAACTCTCCAAGTAAAATAAAACTTGCCTCAAAAAAATTTTTAAATTAAGAGGAAGTAAAAACCAATGAACCTTAAGTTCCCACCATTCAAAGACACTGAATTAACAGTGACTGCAGCTTGTTCCAATCCTCTCATTTATGTGTAATACACATTTTGGATCATTTAGTTTATAAAATGTTGAATTGTTTATACACCAAACATTGAACATAACTATGTTTTCATATTTTATGTATGTGTGTGTGTGTATGTGTTTATGTATATGGAGCTCTGGTGGCATGGTGGATAAGCCATTTGGCTGCTAACCATAAAGTCATTGGTTCAATCCCACCAGCTGCTCCACAGAAGGAAGATGGGGCAATATACTTCCGTAAAGATTTACAGCCTCAGAAACCCAATGGTGGTTGCTATGAGTCAAAATTGACTTGATGGCAGTGAATTTGAGTTTTGTTTTGTTTTCTGGTTTGGTGGCACAACGGTTAAATATTCATCTGCTAACTGAAAGGTTGGTGGTTCAAACTCACCAGCTGCTCTGTGGCAGAAAGAAGCGGCCATCTGCTTCTGTAAGGATTACAGCCTTAGAAACCATATGGGTTAGTTCCACTCTGTCCTACAGGGCTGCTGTGTGTCAGAATCGACCCAATGACAATGAGTTTGGTTTTTGTGTGGATGGGTGATTTCATATTTCACTGATTTAAACAATAAATTAATCAGTCACAGCCATTCTCTTATTGTTGGGTGCTGAGTTTCCCCCTTCCTCCCCTTGTTTCTGCTATTACACATAAGGCTGCAGTAAACATCTCTGGGGATAATGTTTAACTTATTAAATATTAAGAAGTATTCTTTTCTTAGGTTAGACTCTCAAATAAGGAATAGCAGCTCAGAGATTGTGAACATCATACAAATCAATAAATATGACATAGTAAAGAAGTAAAATTTTACATATAAACTATAGCTCCAGCTTTGTGCCAGAGGTTCTATTTTTCTGCTTATGGACTTTAAATATCTTGATTTTTCCCTTGACTTTTCTACCCACGAGTATAGAATTCTTCCCCAGATCAAAGATAGAGACAACAATCTTTAATTCAAAAATACCCCAAGGTAGTGATTCAGCAACATAATATCAGATACTTCCTGGCAGAGCAACAATCTGCAAAGAGTACAGTACTGTGATTACAGTGCAGATGAACTCAGATGCAAACGCACTGGTGAAGCCACAAAGTGTGTGTGGGAGAGAGAGAGACGGAGCGGGCGAGGACCAGAATCGGCCGGGAAAGCACCGTGCTCACCTTGGCAGGCAGCTCCTGCTCCACGATGCCTTCCTCTGGCCTCACTTCCTCGCTGGGAGAAAAAAGAGAAAGTTCTTTCAGTGCATGGCTGGCACTTGCTGAGCTGGTACTATGCTGGCTTCTGGGGCTGTGAGAGTGACTGAGACAATTTCTTCCCCTCTTCAATGTATATCTATATTTGAGGCTGGTAGAAACAGGAAACATCAATATAAAAAGTAAAAACCCAAACCCATTGCTGTTGAGTCAATTCTGACCCACAGAGCCCCTCTGGGACACAGTAGAACTGCCCCATAGGATTTCCAAGGCTGTTGATCTTTACAGAAGCAGACTGTCATGTCTTTCTCCCATGGAGAGGCTGCTGGGTTCGAACTGCCAACCATCAAGTTAGCAGCCGAGCATTTAACTGTTGCACCATCAAGGCCCCTCATAAAAGGAAAAGGATAGTGTACCATGGATAGCACCCAGTTCCACCTGATGAGAAGTAAAGGACTCTCTCAGGTGTTGGTGGCGTAGCAGATAAGGCTGCTAACCAGAAGTTCAGCAGTTCAAACCCACCAGCTGCTCCATAGAAGGAAGGGGGGGGTAATCTACTTCTGTAAAGATTTACAGCCTCAGAAACCCAATGGGGGTTGCTATGAGTCGGAATCAACTCGATGGCATTGAGTTTGGTTTGGGTGGTTTTTGCCAGATGCAGGATAAGCTACAATGCCAAGAGGAAGAACTAACTTAAGAGCAGGGGAACGGAAAGGAGTGGGGTTTGGGGCAAGGAGAACAGCCCGCGTCAAGACTTGGAGGCAAGAAAACACACAAAACACTGAAAGTAAGAGGGTATTCAGCCCCGAATGAAGAATCTGGGGCTTAGAAGCACTGAGTGATGCTGGGCCATGGAACTAGTAAGTGTAGAACTGAGACCTGAAGCCAGGTCTGACTCCAAAGCACTTGTTCGTCCTGTCACACTGCATTCCCCAGAACCGCGCTTTGAATTAGGATCACGGCGGACCGTAAACATAGCAGGACAACGCAATGCCTGGCTAGGATATCTTCCATTCCTTTTCAGAAAGCTGAGGCTTGCTTGCTGGCATAAGGAGCTGCATTCCAGGTCCTTACGCAATGTTTCACCTTTCAGATCATCCACTCCTCGTTTTTCTTTTGGAGACATATGGGGTAAAGATGACAAGGGGGGTGGCACCCAGCACTCATAGACATAAATTGATCATGACACCTGTGACTGAGATGTAATGCTACATTCTAATATGTAACAAAACAGCAACTACACAATAATTAAGAGAGAAAACGCCCTCTCAGAAGCACTAAGAAATGTGACCAAAGCGTCACCACTTCTGCTGTCAGGAATTCACATTTGTGGTCCCTTGCTGCTGGCTTCCATGAGAGGGAAAACAATTAGAACTCGCTGTAAAACCATCACAGAACTAAAACCGTCAGAACCCTTGGTCGCTAGAGTGGGTTTCTGCTGTGTCCTTGTGCCGAAGTCCTGCTTATTTAAGATCAAGGAGACAGTGTTGAGAGAGCCTATCCTGGCCACAAGGCTGGTTAACACGCAGTTGTTCATTCCAAAGCAGCACACGCATCACAGGACAGTGAATCCTCTGCAAACCTGCTTGCTGGCTGAGCACTTCTGCTGCTGAGTATGCATGACGCAAATGACTGCCCCATTTCAGAGACGCTTCCACGCATGGCACATGGGAAAGAAACGTCTGAGAGTAACACGCAAAATCCTCATTTAGAGGACTCCTACCAGTCAGCAGGCTTTGTGGCTAGTGCAGTTGCGTTTCCAATTTTTAGCACTTCTGAAAACAACACTCTCTTTATTTCTTCTGCCAGTCTTCTATCGCCTGCTGAGAACATCAAATCCTCGCTCTAGACTCTGATCACCGTCATTCACATGGCAAATTCAAAATGGCAGTGCCTGCCCTTCTTCCCCAACTGCTAGCCTGTAGGAGCAGAGGGGTTACCTGGATGCAACCCCACAACCCCTTCAATGTCCTAGTGGAAATCTGAGGCCTCTACTCTGTCCCGCTTTTAAAGAGAAGGCACACATAGTACACATCAGAGTAGAGAGTTGCTAGCCTCTCTGTGACAATGCAGGTGAAAAGCTACACTGATATTTAAGAAGGCAGGAATGTGTGGAGCCACACAGAATTTCATCCGAGTGGAGTGCTTACTCCCAATCTTTTACACCCTTGAGCTACAGGGTGGTTAGTTCTCAAAGTCATAGGTGATGGTGCACTCACAGCTCTCCTCTGATTTTCCTCTTCCCACTGGATTGAAGGAATGACTTTCTGTAGGACTCTGGGGTGAAGGGATTGACATTGACCAGGGCCAGTGAGGTCATCTCATCCATGAAGGGGACAGGTGTGAGCCGCAGGTGCTTGGAGCCCCGGGAGGAGAGTTTCCCCACTGGGGAGGCCATCAGTGGGCTCAGCTGCCTCTGGATGGGATGACAAAAGGGAGTCAGGACAGGGTTAGTGAAATCCAGTTAATATTTAAACCAAAGAATGTTCTTGCTGAACGGGGTCTTAGAGATCATCTCATCCAGCACCCACTAGTTTTATGGTAACTGGCCTTATAAAAAAATACCAATTCCAGTCTTTACCTCTAGATATGCTGATTTGTGAAGTCAACCCAGGAATCTGTACATTTGTTAAGTCCTACCCCACCCTGGAAAACTCTGATAACTAGCTATGAAGTCCACCAATTCTGGTCCTACATCTAACTTTCAAAGACGAGGCTATTTATGTTTCAAAATAAATAAACAGTTAAAAGTCAAATCTGACTCGTGATGACCCTGCGGGTGTCATGGAGAACGGAGCTCCACAGGGTTTTCCATGGCTGAGTTTTTGGGAGCGGATCATCAGGCCTGTCGTCTGAGGTCCTCTAGATGAGCTGCAGCCTCCCGTCTTTCAGTTCGCAGACAAGCATGCTAACCTTTTGCACCACCCAGGGACTCCAATTAAATCCAGACAAAAGCAACTCTGCAGAACACTGGTCTTTGTCCTCTCAGAGCAATAGATTGCCTTCCTGGATTATTTATGCAAACATTTGTTTGGTGCCTACAAAGCAGCAGGGTGTGGGGTACACGCTGCGGCCCGGAGATGAGACCCCACTCTTCAGGAAATGAACAGTCCATTCATCAGTGGCCCAGCCATGTTTCAGAAATGATCACTTTGCAAAGGAAAGATTTCATAGACCACACAGGGAAGAGGAGTTCCTGATTGCACTTAAAATTCAGCATTAAATGAGAGCTGCTTCTCTTAACTAGCCTAGAGATTACAATATAACCCCTCAAAAGCAAGCCCGTTATTCAGGGCTTAGCAGTGGATACAACTAGCGCATGAACAAACAGAAAAGCAAGCAGGCCTTGCCCCCCAAATGGAGTACAATAAGAAAACCTAAGGCTGAAACCAGCTTGACCTGGAGCTAAACCAAGGGTCAGAGGACAGATCAAAGCCAGAGAAGCCAGATGGTGCAGCACAGCAGCATGATGACCTGAGTTCAGGGTGCCTCAGCTCTCTACTGCTGCTGTAACCGAAATGCCACAAGTGTAGCATCTAACAAGCGGAAATTGATTCTCTCAGCTTAGGAGGCTAGAAGTCCACATTCGGAGTGCCAGCTCCACAATAAATGCACACATGTCAAAAAAAAGAAAAAGAAGAAAGAGCCAAAATCAACACTTTAAACCAACATCTCCAACAATTAGAAAAAGAACAGCAAGAGAAGCCTACAGTCACCAGAAAAAAGGAAATAATCAAGATTCGAGCAGAAATCAATGAAACAGAAAATAGAAAGGCAATAGAAAAAATCTACAAGACCAGAAGTTGGTTTTCTGAAAAGATTAATAAAATTGACAAACCACTGGCAAATTTAACAAAGGAAAAGAGGGAGAGAATACAAATAACACAAATAACAAATGAAACGGGTGACATCACAATAGAACCAATTGAAATAAAAAGGATAATATCAGGATACTATGGAGAACTGTACTCCACAACTTTGAAAATCTGGAAGAAATGGACAGATTTCTAGAAACACACCACTTACCTAAACTAACACAGACTGATGTGGAAAAGTTGAACAGGCCCATCACAAAAGAAGAAATTGAAAAGGTCATCAAAAAATTACCAACTAAAAAAAGTCCTGGCCCAGACGGTTTCACCAGAGAATTCTACCAAAAATTCAGAGAAGAACTGATACCAATCCTACTCAAACTATTCCAAAACATAGGAAAGGATGGAACCCTCCCTAACTCATTTTATGAAGCAAGCATAACCTTGATACCAAAACCAGGCAAAGACATCACTCAAAAGGAAAACTGCAGACCAATATCCCTCATGAATATAGATGCAAAAATCTTCAACAAAATCCTAGCCAATAGACTGCAACAACATATCAAGAAAATCATCCATCATGACCAAGTGGGGTTCATATCAGGTATGCAGGGATGGTTCAACATTAGAAAAACAATCAACGTCATCCACCACATAAATAAAACAAAGAAAAAGAACCCCATGATCATATCAATTGATGCAGAAAAGGCATTTGATAAAATCCAACACCCATTCTTGATCAAAACTCTCAGCAAAATAGGAATAGAAGGGACATTCCTCAACATAATAAAGGGCATCTATACAAAACCACCAGCCAACATTATTCTCAATGGAGAGAGACTGAAACCATTCCCCCTGAAAACAGGAACCAGACAAGGATGCCCTCTGTCACCACTTCTATTCAACACCAGCAGCTCAGTATTCTGTGGCAGATGTGATGCCCACGCTCAGCAGGTACTAGAGGGTCACTGGCAGTGAGTGAGCCACCGTCAGATCCCATGTGTTCCTGTGATTATCTCCAGGGCTGCCCGCTGAGCCAGCAGGAAGCAGAGCTAGTCCTGACCAGGGAGCACACACCACGACGCCAAGTCTAACGGAGGAAGCCCTGCTCCAACCCCAAAGTGAATAATGTGAAAGACATAATAGGAGTCTAGGGGCAGCAAGAATGAAGGGATGTGCTGACTACAAGGAACTCCACTCATTTGCTACCTGTGGTGGACTGAGCTGTGCCCCAAACAGGATATGCTGAGATCCTAACCCCTGTACCTGTAAGCGTAACCCTGCTTGGAAATAGGGTCTTTGTAGATGTAATCAGTTAACACGAGATCATACTGGAGTAGGTGAGTGCTAATCCCATCTGAGAGGTGTGCTTATAAAGGAGGAGAAGAGACACAGAGAGACAATGCAGAGGGAAGGCAGCCACGTGAAGATGAAAGCAGAGATGGGCGTGATGGAGCTACCGGCCAACAGATGTAAGGACCGCTGGCCGTCACGAGAAGCCAGGAGGGAGGCGTGGAAGGACCACTGGCCGTCACGAGAAGCCAGAAGAGAAGCATGGAGCAGATGCTCCCTCAGAGCCTCCAGAAACCAACCCTGCCAACGCCTCAACTCTGCTTTCTAGCCTCCAGAACTGAAGCAGACAAGTTCCATTCTTATAAGCCACCCAGTTTGTGGGATACCAATATAGCATCGTCCATCCATAAAGTACCACCAACAGGTTAGCTCTTTGCTCACAGATACCAGAAGAGCCTTGTCTCACCAGATGAGGAAGGAGAGAGAAGTGCCTTCAGGAAAGAGCAGCAGCCAAGAGATGCATATGTTCAGACAGTGGAGGGAGCACTGTGCTGTTAGGAACTTTAGAAAATAATCACGTAAAATAGAGACAGCTGGATGGAACGAAGACTAGGCTAGGCATAAAAATAAGACAGAACTGCAATATAATCAATAAAATCAACAGCAATATAATCAGGATTTCCAGTTTCTAGTCCTGAGTAGAACCAAACAATGTAACGCACTGGGCAAATCTGCTGCAAAAGACCTCTTTCAAGTGTTGAGAAGCAAAGATATCACTTGGAAGACTAAGGTGTGCCTGACCCAAGCCATGGTATTTTAATCCCCTCATATGCATGTGACAGCTATACAATGAATAAGGAAGACTGAAGAAAAATTGATGCATTTTGAATTGTGGTGTTGGCAAAAAATATTGAAAATACCATGAACTGCCAGAAGAACGAACAAATCTGTCTTGGAAGAGGTGCAGCTGGAATGCTCCTTAGAAGTGAGAACGGCCAGACTTCAACTCACCTCCTTTGATCGTGTTGTCAGAAGGGACCAGTCCCTGGAGGAGGACATCTATGGTGAAGTGGAGGGTCAGCAAAACAAAGGGGAAGACCCTCAACGAGATGGATTGACACAGTGGCTGCAACAATGGGCTCAGGTGTAGCAAGGATTGTGAGGCTGGCACAGGACCGTGCAGTACTGCATTCTTTTGTACATGTGGCTGCTATGAGTCAGAGTCTACCAACTGGCATCTAACAACAACAGTCCTGACTGGGCATTGGCTGAGCGGATAGGCCAGCTCATCCCTGGGACCCTGCTTTGCTCATGTGCCAGCTGCACAGGTTGGCCTTGATCTCTTGATCTCAATCTCTCTTGCGGGTAAACTAGGAGTTTTCCCCACCCAAGATTAATCTGCGGCCTCTACCAGATAACTGCTAGTTCCAAAGATGGAGAAGACAGCTAGCAAGACATGTAATTCTGTTTTCTGCTAACTAAGCCCATCTTCATTATCTTCAATAAACATGTTGCTGGGGACATGCACCATGTTGGACAAACGTGTCACATACCCACCAGCTGCCAAGACCTCCTTCTCTTCCTGCTGGACTTGGAGCTCAGGTCTTAGAGACCTGGCCCTCTCCCCGACTGCTCACTCACCTTGGGTGTGAAGGGGCTGTCACCCTGCTGTGACCGTCTCCTTTTGTCTGCTGGGACTGGTGTTTCAGGACATCTGAGAGGGCCCGTCACTGGGGACCTCCACAAAGGGCCTGGACTCACTTTGTCCTTCTCCTGACCTGTGCTGAATCCTCGGACATTCCGAACCGGAGTCCTGGGAGGGCTGAGCTTAGCCTCTGCGGCCTGGGAGTCCGCCTTCTCTGGGGTCTGGCTCTGGGCCTCTGGGCTCTCTTGTGCTTCCTCCTGTCCTTCCTTTTCTGTCTCTTCTTCACAACATGAGAAGTTTAACTTCTGCTTCAGCTCTTTGTTAATTCCACTGTCATCCATCTTGGCCAATGAGCTGTGCAACGTAGGTAGGGAGGCCTATCACAGTGGTGCGCTCTTCCCTCTGCAGATGGAAGAAGAGGAGAGACTGAGTGTCCCCAACTGTGGCCTGCCTTTCCCTCCCCATAGCTACGCCAAGACACTGTTCGTATCCTCCCTTGAGCACGTCTTCCCTCCGTAAGACCCCAGCTCATCCTCATGCCCATTCTGACGGGAGGAAGCTCCAGCAAGTCTGAGCAATCAAGTCCAGCTGATATGAAGAACACTCCCAGTTACTCGCAGCTTCTTGGGCCCACAGGTGAAAGACCACAGGGATCCAGGAACTGCTAGTTTAGCATGGCCCTCAGAAGTACACATCAGCCAACTTGGGAACAAGCTCATCGTTGGAAAGAATCTCATTTGCACTTATCATTTAGAAACGTCACCCCCTCCCTTCCTTCTGCCCCCCCCCCCAATGCCTAAAAAACTTGTGACCGTTGAATTGATTCCAACTCACAGAGACCCTATAGGACAGAGTGGAACTAGCCCATAGGGTTTCCTAGGCTGTCAATCCTGACAGAAGCTAAGCCCAAACCCACCCACTGCTGTATTCGTTCAGACTCACAGCGCCCCTAGAGGACAGAGTAGAAGTGCTCCAAAGGGTTTCCAAGGCGCTGGTGGCGCAGTGCCTAAGGCATTTGACTGCTAACCAGAAGGCTGGCAGTTCAAACCCACCAGCCACTCCTCAGAAGGAAGGTTGGTTGGGCAATCTGCTTCCATAGTGATACCGCCTCAGAAACCCAAGGAGGGGTCGCTAGGAGTACTTGATGGCAGTGTGTTTGGTTTTTTGTTTTCTTTGAATGTTCACCGAGCCGACTGCCACAGTTTTGTCCCATGCAGCTGCTGGGCCAGTTTAGACTGCTGACCTTTCAGTTAGCAGCCAAACGCTTAACCACTGTGCCCCAGGGCTCCTGGCCAAAGGCTAACAAGAATTCATCACAATTTTGCATCAGCTGAATATCTTTTCATGGCTGGAGGTCACGTCCCTGGTAAAGACACACCTTAGATCTTTGCCAGCTACACCTGCCTAATTCCCATACGGCTACGCCAGGCGTTAGCAGTTAACGCTTTCAGGGAATCGATGAATTTTAAAGGACAGGAGAGAGGCCAGGAAGATCAAGAACACCGAGATGGGCTCCAAGGGGCCGTGACTTTTCTGAAAAATGCCTTATTCTGTGAAATGCTTTCTGTTTCTCTTAATTCCTCAACTACCACTTAGATTCCTTAATCTCTTTCTCGTGGAAGCCTCTTGGTGAGGGTAGAAAGCTCTTTGAAGGAATACAGGACAAAAGACCTGGATCACTTTACAGGCAGCCCCTGATAAAGGACAATGACGTGTGTGACCCTCAGTGTCCTCCAGGGAGGGTCTCGGAAGTGCCGGCTCGATAAAAGGGGTCCTGGAAGGAATGGTGCTGAGGAATCACCAAAGCAGTGACAAGTATGATTGGGGCCAAAACCAGCTTCATTTCCCTTCTCTTCATCAGCCTTTGCCTGTCACCTCCTGTCCCTCTCCCGTTTCTTCTGCACCAAGCCCTCCATACCCTCTCTCCTTTTCCACTTGCAGCCAGAGCTCCTGGGGTGTTACCCCAATGAAAACCACTCTTTCGGGCCTCTCCCAGGGGCACACCTCACCCTTCCCTATGCCCCGCCTGGTACAGACCTCTCCAAATAGCTCAGCACCAGGTAAACTCCAGCTTACGGCCCACAGTCACCTACCACTCACCCTGTCAGCAGGCCAGCAGCCCTCAGGGCCACGGAGACCCCGTCAGCACAGGCGAAGGGTTAGCGCAGGTTCCCAGGGAGGAAATTAGTACCACCTGAGACGCCAGCCCGGGACGGGTTTCCTGTTTCCACATCAGTGGGCCGGGCGGTGCTGTTCCTTCCCCTGCCGGGGCGTCCATTACCTTAACTCACATGCATGCTGACCACCCAGCCTCCCAGGCCAGGGGCTCCACACCCAGATCAGGACCTCGCAGGAAACTGAGAGCAAGGCCTGCAGGCAGGGCAACACAGTGGCATCATGGGTGTGACCTCACAGACCAGCTCACCACCTGCCTTTCCTCCCCACCTTGCCAGCAGCTTCAATTATTATGGCTGCACTGTTTGCCTAGGAAAGCAGCTTTGCCACTGTGCAGGCTTAGCCAATGGCAGTTCTGTTATCAACCCCCATTCCCAGGTGCTGCCCCTCACAGGTAAGGCTTCAGGATTGTTGTTGTGAGTTGCCGTCAAGTCAACTATTCATGGTGACTTTATGTATAAAACCCATGCCGTTGAGTCGATTCCAAGTCACAGCGCCCCTAGAGGACAGAGTGGGACTGCCCACAGGGTCTCCAAGGCTGTCAGTCTTCACAGAAGGAAGGCCCAAACCACACCCACTGCCGTGAAGTCTATTCCGACCCACAGAGCCCCTAGAGGACAGAGTGGAACTGCCCACAGGGTCTCCAAGGCTGTCA